CTATTGAATGCTGTGCACTAGACATTAAATAGGGAGCAGTGTATATTATCACTTCTTCTGACCATCTGCTAACATATATTACTACACAAAAAAAAGGAGTTAAGTGCCTGTTTTGGCAACATTTAGTTCAAATCAATAATTTCCGAATGTACATTAATCTTCTATAAAATGTGAATTAATGAATGGTTTCTTGCATTTTCTCTGCTGAAGATCTGAGAAAGCACACAAGAGACGAGCCAAGCAGCCTTCCTCTCACTGGAAAAGCAAACTCTACCTGTCTGCCCATTTTCATGAAAACTTGAAAGAACTCTACAGTTTCAAGATTCCTGCCTTCAAGTCAAACACATTAAGGAGATATATCCAGCACAATTCAAGAAAGCCCAGTGCCTTAAGTCAGCAGACAAATGAACTAAATTTGGCTTCTATCAACTGAAATAACTGGGAGAGCGATGAGTTGGAACGTGCACTTCACTTGTTCTACTTACTTTAAAACTTACTTTAACAAGACAACAAAGAAAAAGCAAGAATAGCTTAGGTTTAATAGCTAAACATTCAATTGCCACAACATACCTACATGAACATTCCTGAGACTTAAAGCACCCTTTTGCAGTGGAATTGAGTTCCCAGAAGTGATCTACATCAAACATTCCAAGAAAATAAAAAACCCAAAACAACACAACAAACCACAAAACAAACAAAAAATCCCCTATGTTGGATGAATTAAATGGGTCCAATCCAGTGCCTCAATACTCAGACATGATAACGCATGTAATGTGAGCTTCGACTTGCCTAGTTTTACTCAGTTTAATTTGAGGTGCTCATGTTTACAGTTAATTATTTTTGCTTATGCACAATTTACAGACAGACAAGATTTATAAGCCTAAAGTTTGACAAATTTTTCCTTGTATTTGTTTACAAGTTAGAATAACTCACACCTATCAGTCCCTCTTAGCAGCGCACTTGCACCTTTTTCAGCAGCCAAAGACAGTACAGCAACATGAACTACTGTTCTTGGGGAGGAAAAAAACCCACAGACAGTAAAATTTACCTGAGTAATCATAACCAAACTTGCTTTCTGCAGTAAGATGTGAGGAAAAGACAGCGATTGCCCTCTAGTGTTTAGCCACCAGACAACAGCGTAAATGATGTGAACGTTTTTCTTAAGCTCTAACATAAAGGTCTGGTGAATGTTTGCAGAGCTGAGCAGTAAGTGGAATGGACTCAAACCAATGAGAAATTAATACCTGAAAGGCACTTCAACGACAAACACAGAGATTTCACTTGATCCCAGATTTACTGACTTTGTTAGGCTGGTATGGATTTATTAGGTATTACAGACACTATGATTTATTGAGATGTAAATTACACACATTTACTTTCAGTAGACTGCTAAAAAAACGTAGCTTTTTCTCAGGAGGCAGAAATCATTAACAGACTAGACATTATTAATAACCAAGTAACTTCTGCAAACTCTGTCAGAGCTCTATAATATAAGTAATACAAGTAATGTTGGTGGCAGCAGGCTTTGCATGTATTTGTCATTACAGAAAGTATGAGTTATCATATCATTACTGTGCATTACTATGCAATGCATTATCTGCATACATTGAAGACTAATTCAGACTGTCCAAATAAGAAAAACACCAACCCATCAAGTTTCTTTAAGTTAAGGAGTCAACAGGTTACTACTAAGCTATCAAATGAAACATGCATTTTTGCAGCCCAAAAACCTACATAATATTTTCCCCTTCATGCATTTGGGCCTAAATATAGCGAACAACTATTTATCAAGGGGGCAAGGGGAGGGAAGCAGCAAAGCTCTCTAATCCCTCCTCCCTCCTTCCCCCCATATCCTGGAAGGATGTGCTCAACCACAAGTCCACTTTAGTCAGTCTCCTTCTCTGCCTCTACAAATCAAAATAATGTGTGAGCTTTAATTTTGTGTTTTATTTTTTAGTTCTAGGAGTTTATCATAGAGGTTGAGGTGTAACATGCTTTTATTTCAAGAATTTTGTCAATTAAACGCCTAAGACTCTTTCAATTTGCAAAGAAAACCACTAGCTTTACGGCACCATGATCAATTCTTTAGTGGACTTCACCTGAAGGTAAATAAATCACTGTTTTATTAGCAGAGACACAATCATGTATGGTTCAGAAGTCTGTGTGAAGATTGATGGTGACAAACTAATACAGCAGTACTGGGTGCTAAACTTCCATACTCTTTTGTAGCAATTCAGGTCATCACCAGACAACTCTAAGCCACAAGACTATGATTTTAGATGGTTATATGATTTTTATATACACACACAAGTACTAGTTACACATATGCAATGTGCATATACTTGTCCAGAGAATTAGTTACTCCTGCTCCAGTTACTCATAGCTTAATATACTCAAACTTCCTTTTTTTAAACAAGACTGCCATTTCTCACAGGAAAATCCTTAAAAATAAACCACCAAGCATTTTAATTTGAAGAGTTGTATTGTTTTCTTCTTTCATTCTTTTATAGAGCAAGGTGTTTTGGAGTCACAGTTACAGAAGATTTTAAGAAGTTTCATGATAGAGCATAATAAATCATCAGAAGTTATATCAGAACAGGAATAAGATTAGCAGTTATGGATTTCTAAACTGAGCAGTGTCTCATTTGAGTTCTCAGCAAAGAATGAGTCAAATTTGTTCAGGGCTACTAGCCTTTTAACAGGAGAAAATAAATGTCTGACCCTGTTTCTTTCAATACTTTTTCTGCCTTCACCTGCAAATCAGTTGTGTTCAGGAACTCAGAAAAGCAGAATACTTTCAGGATCATGCTCTGAATCATGAACAGTCACTAAAAGTAGGAGAAAAACACTTGGCAGTCCTAGGGAACTAACTCTGGAGAGCAGCTCTTCAGACTGCAGGGCACAGCATCCTGTTAGTTCATTCACCTGGACTACAGGCTGCCCCCAGTTGGCTTCCCTCCTCAGGGTCACCCTGGGAGCAGGAACGCCATCTGATAAAGACGTTCCACGTTCAAAGGAGGCACTGCCTTTCTCATGACATTGCACACAACAAGATTCCTCCCTTCCATCCCAAGGAAGATAATAAAAAACTGCAGCAAGAATCACTTGCCCTGTGCAAAAAATGTTCAACAGCTACTTTTAAACTACTCTAAAGAACAAGTTGATCAAAAGCAGGCTACGTTAGTTCTTTCTGATACTTCTCACGAGGCAGAAGGACCTACCTATGTGAAAGTCTAATTTGGGTCTGCAAACAAGATACACACAAGTTTATGAAAAGACAGCTCAACACGTTTGTGGACATCAGCTAACACAGCAGGAGAGGACTGCAGCTTACATTCATCCCTACCAAAGGAAATCACATAAAATTTGTGACTGAACATCAGGCAATTCTGATCTAGCTGAAGACTGACGAAACAGCACCCAAAATATGCATATTGTCTTTTCCATCAGTCATGCATGAAAGCCAAAAAAAAACATATTCCCAAGAAGCAGATAATTTAAAAAGGGAAACAGAAAGAAAAAGGTTACATTTTTTTTCAAATCATCTGCATCTTAAGTTAACAAAGAAAGCCCCCAGCTGGCCAGAAAGGGAAACTGCAATAAGGATAACAGACCTTATAGAACAGTAACATTAGGGTGGAAAAGTATCAAGAGGGCCCTATTACCTAAGATGAAGCACAAGCAGTTTTCACAAGACAGATACAGCAGGAAACTTCATCTTTGGTCCACTACAAACATTCATGCCGATGCCATGGTTACCTACCAGTCAGGTACTGTATGCCAATCAGTGAATATTCCACCTGTACATTGAGCACCACATTCAATGAGATGACCTGCAAGGCTGGGAAAATGGCATTCAAATAACTAAGTATTCTGTAAAATCAAGTTTCACAAATCCAGCTTTAAAATAAAATAGCACAATGGAGATAAAGCTAAATATCACAACATTCTAATTACTTCCCCTCCATAGGGATCTAATGCAGTTATAAAAGACACATTAAACATCAAAAGGGATTGCAAAAGCTGAACATATAGTCAAAGTAGTAACTTCTACATGAAGATTCAGGTGAATTTCCTGAAATAAAGGGAACACCTAGAAGATTATCTGACACCAAATAACAAGTTTCATTGGTCATTTCAATAAATATTTATATAAATTCAGTATCTCAGCAGTCTGCATTGTGTGTAAATAATCACGTATAGCCCCTTCTTAAATCAAGAGATGCAAGATCTCCCACGTAAAGGAAAGAACGTATTATGATCGTGTATAATGATGTCGAAACCCTTTATTGCAGTATTACATAAATACTCAATAGAATTACAGGGAAAATCCTCATCTCTGTCATCTCCAATTCAGTGCCGCTGCAGTTTCTTTCTGCAATTTTTCTCAAGTTATAGGAGGTCCAAGCACACCACTACTAGGTGTACTCAGGTTACCTAAGTAAGTCACTCATTTTTATGAACTTCACCACAGTCAGCTGATGCATAAAGTTAAATTAGCTGACAGAATTTTACCCAATGTGTTCCCGATTCCTAACTTTAGAACCTACAACTAGGGTTTGCAAACAGGAGTACTGACACTGAGCTTTTGCAAAACCATACCAAGATGCTGACCTGACTGAATCTCATTCTGCTTATTTTTTAGGAGAAGAGTTGCTACCATCACAAATATAAACAGTGATGGCAAAAAAGAGAAAAAGCTGGGCATCACTGGTCTGAATTGTAAGGTTTCATCTCTTGACACAAAACGGACAGGAAAAGATAGTTTAAACTGTTAAATAAAATCCCTTCTTTTCTCATTTTGTTATTTTAAGTTAGTTCCAGAATTAAATTTCTGTAATTAAAATTCCAAATGAAAGAGTATTAAGTGAGCCTTACAAAAGAACCCAAAACCTAAGAAAAACACTGAAACATGCAAAATTACTAAATGCTTAAAAAGTTATCCGGACAGTATAGGACATGAAATAGAAAATTTACCCATTTCTTCTTATATAATTTACCTTCCCGCAGCTAGCAAGTCAAAGTCATCCCTATTCCAGCCAAACTAGAAGAAAAATTTAAATATTTTACACATATAGAATTTCATACAGTACAGAACACTGCTCAGTGTGTTCACTGCTTTGAGTAACAATGCATTAGATGCATTAGACTTCCTGCAGAAGTCTAACGAACAGTAATTAGGAGGCACTGTAGGTGGATTTGACTAGCTATACAGTAAATTAGTAAAAGAACTCTGATGTATTTCAGTTTTCCTCTCATTAATACACAAGAATTTATAAACTCTCAAAGTCACTCTTAGAAAAAACCTGAAAGTGCAATATGCATATTATTCAGAATTTGTGTAAGCTGGAGGCTTAAAAGTCCTCCACCTATTTTGTGTCACATAAACAAACAATTGCTTTTTCAGTTATCAGTTCCTAGAATTCTACTAGTCATCCTTAAAACCTGGCAGTATGTTTTGTTTAGTTAACTAGAGTTTTCCCCCCCCCGCCCGAGTTCAATACAGTGTAAACAATATAGTCACCATTTCTTACTTAGGAGGAATCTCCCTAAAATCCTTCAATACATTACATAAGGTCTTTCTGGGGTAGACAATACACAATGACAGCTATTTTGATAATATAAACAGCTAGGAATAAAACAACAAGTCATAATGGAAATTATAAATGGGAAAGCTTAATTCTATATTAGGCAATGTTTGACATGCATGAAGTTGGAACAGTACAAAGTTTAAGAAAGAG